GCCGCGAGGTAGGACCGTCTCGAGCCCGTGTCGCCGCCCCGCTGGGGAGGGGGCGCTGGGCAGATCCCCTAACCGCGGGAGCGAGAGCCGCTTGCTCCTGGCTAGTGACGAGCGGTCCAGGCAGACTGGACTGGGACCTCAGCAGAGCCGCCCCAGCGATGAGAGTCGGGGGTGTCTGTAGACCTGGGGGGTGCGGCTCCTGGATTAGTCAGCGGCTTTTTATAATACTCTCCCCCTCCCCTGGGCTGTGGGAAAATTAACCCTTTCGGGTCGGTGGGCATCAACTGCTATTTGGCACCCTGGGGTCTAAGGCCATCTCCTTTTCTGGGTCACCAGGGATGTGGAAGCCACTTGGTGCAAGGTTGAGCCTGGGCCAGCTGGAAGTTAAGAGTGTCCAGCAGCTTGCTTCTCTCCTGCCTGGGCACAGGATGGAGGGTCCGGGAGGTTTCTGTACCCCTAATCCTCGGGGTTAGGGTGGGCCCTGGTTGGGAGAGGCTCTCCCTCATCCCCTACCCTCTCAGTTTATGGCTGGTCAGAGGGACCTGTGGCTGAGGGGTTTGAAGTGAATGAGAGTCAGACTAGCCCTGGGACTCGGCATACTAACAGGCAGAGTTGCAAATACATATGTGTGCTTGCTTGTGTACACACACGTACACACACACCTACTTCACAGTCACACCTGAACACAAAGCTGAGGAAAGTTTTACACAGAAGCTCACTGGAAGTGCAGTACATGCATACAGGTATGCACAGACTTGTGCGGGTGCATGCCTGCACAGTGTCACACACACTGCGGGCCACAGCCCTGAAGGCCAGGCTGGGGACAGAGGGAGTCTGAGGTCCAGGGCCCTTGATGAGCTTGCTTCCTAGCCTCTGCTGCTTTCCCAGCTGCTTAGCGCCAGGTGGCTGCGAGAGGGCTGCAGCTAGCCAGAGGGCCTGGCGCTGAGGCAACTTGAGGTGTGGCAACTGCACTGCCTGGAAGACCAGAGGCCTGGGTTCTCCTTCCAGCTTTGCCGATCCACCTTGGGCTTGTTTCCTTCTTGGACCTTAAGTGTGTTTCTGCCCACCGCCCGCCTGCCCCAGAGCCCCACTCCCCTGGGATGTGGAATCCAATGAGAACTACACGTCTTCTCAGGAGAGGCCCCACAGGGCAGCCAGACAGGGCACATCGAAAACAGAAAGCTTGCAGTGCCATGCTGGGCTGCATACAGAGTGGCCAGGGCTCAGAGCAGGTGCTTACGGGAAACACTTCCCACAGGAGATGGCGTGTGTCCAGGTCTTGAAGGACATGTGGATATTTGTTAGCCCCCTGGCGTGGCCTCCTCTCCGTGGCCCCTAGGGTAGGAGAAGAGCTGCTCCACAGGGTTTCCCAGGCTGTGGATCTTGATGGAAGCACACTGCCTCATCTTTTGCCTGTGACGTGGCATGGCGGATCGGAAGTGCCCACCTTCTGCTAGCAGCCAGCGTGTACCGCACTCTACCACCAAGGCGCCCTCCCTTCGTGTTCATTAGGGGTCGGTTTAATAGATGCTGAATGCTGTTATACAAGCTGCGGCTATTTCATTCCTTAGACCTCATGCCTAGGGAACGCTGCTGGGATAGTGAGTCATGTGTTTCCTTACTAACCATCACTAGGTCTGAGATTTAAACCCACCAGCTGCTCCAAGGGAGAAAGATGAGGCTTTCTGCGCCCCCCCTCCCCCCACACACACACTGCTCCTGTGAAGATTGGTAGCCTTGGAAACCACAGGGGTGGTTCTACCTTGTCCTAGAGTTGTTTTGGGTGGGCATTGACTTGTGGTATTGAGCTTGGTGTTTTGGTTAGACCTCTCGCCCACTCTAGGAGAGTAAGATTGTTGTGGTGTGAGAGAGCAGGCTGCTGGCCTTGGCCTACCTCTATGCCTTGCAGGCTGTGGCGCCCTGAGTGAATTCAGTTTGTCTGTGTTGTGAGCCCTTTGTCTATCAGATAGATGGATGGATGATAAGGGATTACTATCCGTCTCTTGAGTGGCACAAACAGCAGCACTTGGCTCCGAACTAGAAGCTTCGATGTTCCCTAGAGGTACCTCAGAAGACAGGCCTGGGAATCTGTTTCTGAAAGGTCACAGGATTGAAAACCCCATGGGGCACAGGTGCTGGGCGGGAACAGGCCATTGATGCCTGAGGCCTGCCACAGCCTCACTTTTGGGTTTTCAGGTTTTTGGTTTTAGAGAGACTCATGTGGCATACAGAAAAGCCAGCCAGGGATTCCTGAGGCGCTAGAGAGGAGGGCAGAGTGAGTACACAAGAGTTTACAATTAAAAAGATGTCTATTGGGATTTGGAGTTAAAATAAACCTTAAGACCTGGGCACAAGTAGGCCTTTTTAAGATAGATCAGATTCTTAGTTAAACACAGGGTTTTCCAGTTGTCATTTATATCTCAAAACAGTTTTAATAGCAACGCTTAAAAGGTACTGTTTTAGAACTGCTGCACCCTATTCCGTTTCCTTGAGCAACTGACTTAGTCTCTCTTGCCTTTAGTTTCTTGATCTGTAAAACAGGGCTCGGATTGGTTACCTCACAAAATTGTTATGCGCAGTTGAGTTGGTAAAGTGAGTTAGTAGCAACTGACTCACTGCTAGGTTACTAGGGTCCAGTTCCTATACACACAGGGTCCTGGCAAGCGGAGCATATTTAAACATGTCTCTGAACAGTGGATGGCTGCAGACAAGTTCTCTCAGTAACATAGCTATGGTTTTTTAGCTCAGGGTTGCTATGAGTCAAAACC